CTCACCTCCGCGCTGGGGGCCTCCCGCGCACTTAGCTCTCCGGACCCCTGACCGGGGGCCGCCTGAGGGTCCATGCCCCGCCGCCCACAGCCAGGCTCCCGGGACGCTCCGGCACGTGACGGTCGACAAGCTGCCGAGAGGCCAATCGGCGCGGCGCTTCCACCGAGGGGGCGGGGCGGCGCAGGGGCAGCGGTGCCGGACGACACGCCCACCTCGTCGTGTGGGGACCACAGGCTCCCAATCTCGTCCTGACTTCCCTGGTTTAGAGCCTTAGGCAGGACAGGGCACTGGGCCTTCCCCATGGCAGCTTTAAATGACCAGAGTCAACCCCGATAGCTTAGAAAGCCCAGGCTTCGTCACAGTTAAAGTCACCGCTGCTCCATCTCTTTTTCCCTTCATCCCATCACAGGGTTTTCCAGATAACTCAGCAGCCTGGAGACTTGCCACCTTGGCTTAATGATCGTTTTTTGAAGTCGGGAATCAAGATAAACTCCCCAAACAATGTGCCACCCGGAAACACTCTGTGGCTGTGTTATCGAACTTGGAAGTCACAACCTGTTCTCCAAGTCAGTAATGTGACTCCATTGCATAAGTCTCCATTTTCTTCTTTCCACAGTTAGTTTGGTATTTTTTTATTGACTTATTGAGTATGGTTTGCCGGACCTGATTTGGGTCACAAGTTGTGACCCCAGAGTTCAATAACAGTTGGTCAGTAGAAGTTGAACAAACCTCTTTCAGTGGACAAAGTCTTCAGTCTGGTTATTTCCCTGCTGCTTCGAAGACACAAGTCAACAGCAAGCTGCAGGCAGAGTGCACGTGTGTGTGTGTGTGTGTGTGTGTGTGTGTGTGTGTGTGTGTGTGTGTGTGTGTATCAATATTCTTTGTGGTCTAGAAATTCTGTGAAGGGCTGGAGAGATGGCTCAGAGGTTAAGAGCACTGACTGCTCTTCCTGAGGTCCTGAGTTCAATTCCCAGCAACCACATGGTGGCTCACAACCATCTATGAGATCTGGTACCCTCTTCTGGCCTGCAGGCATGTATATATACACTGTATACACAATAATTTTTTTAAAAAAAAATGAAAATCAGTTGTATGACTTCCATGTGTTTTGAGAAACGTTTAGGAACTATGATATGGCTAGGTATGGTGGTGCCAGAAGAGGGCACCAGATCTCATGAATGGTTGTGAGCCACTATGTGGTTGCCCAAAATATCAACACTTGGAAGGCTGAAACAGGAGGATTGGGATCCGGAATTCAAGACTAGCCTGGGCTTCTTGAGACTTTATCTCAAAAACCAAACCAAATCAGCAACAAGAGAAGCCCAAAGCTAAAAGCTGCAGGTCTGGTTTGACAGGCACACACTGTGAGCAGCAGTTCTCCTTTCTGGAACTACCCATGAACACATAGAGTTAAAACTGTCTCTCAAACTCCATCAGCCGTCCTGCCTGCCATTTCTGAACAGCTCACACAGAGGGCCTGCTAAGTAGCTGTACACAAAATTGCTTATACTCCTGATACGCATAGCCTGTTTAACTACCAATTGCTCGGCTCTTGTTGCTCTGACAATACTGTCATGGCTCATTGGTAGATCTATTAGTCGTTCTGTGGGTGCCAGGGAAGGAGTTCAACTCCTTTGTGTAATCCATGCAAAGCTCTTTAAAAGAAACCAAAGTTTACTGTAGACAAAATTTGATCTCTGACACACACTTTTTTAAATTTTAGATAAACAAGTATATTTTAGTATCAGTAGGTCCTAAATATTTCATGAAACATACTATAAACTTATCAATTGCTTGTTTTTTCTTTTTTCTTTTCTTTTCTTATTGATTTGTATTGAGCTCTACTTTTTTCTCTGCTCTCCTCCCTGCCTCTCCCCTCCCCTTCAACTCTCTCTCCTAAGGTCCCCATGCTCCCAATTTACTCAGGAGATCTTGTCTTTTTCTACTTCCCATGAAGATTAGATCCATGTATGTCTCTCTTAGAGTCCTCATTGTTGTCTGAGTTCTCTGGGATTGTGATTTGTAGGCTGATTTTCTTTGCTTTATGTTTAAAAACTACTTATGAGTGAGTACATACGATAATTGTCTTTCTGGGTCTGGGTTACTTCACTCAAAATGTTTTCTAGCTCCATCTATTTGTCTGCAAATTTCAAGATGTCTTTTTATTCTGCTGTGTAGTACTCCATTGTGTAAATGTACCACATTTTCCTTATCCATTCTTCGGTCAAAGGGGCATTTAGGTTGCTTCCAGGTTCTGACTATGACAAACAAAGCTGCTATGAACATAGTTGAGCACATGTTCTTGTGGCACGATTGAGCATCCTTTGGATATATAACCAAAAGTGGTATTACCGGGTCTTGAAGAAGGTTGTTTCCTAATTTTCTGAAAAATTGCCACACTGACATCCAAAACTGTACCAGCTTGCATTCCCACCAGCAATGCAGAAGTGTTCCCTTTTTCCCGCAACCTCTCCAGCATAAGTTGTCATCAGTGTTTTTGATTTTGGTCATTCTTACAGGTGTAAGATGGAATCTTAGAGTTGTTTTGATTCACATTTCTCTGATGACTAAGAATGTTGAGAGCATTTTCTTAAGTGTCTTTCAGTCATTTTAGATTCCTCTGTTGAGAGTTCTCTGTTTAGGTCTGTACTTCATTTTTTAAATTGGATTACTTGTTCTTTTGATGGCCAATTTCTTTAGTATATTTTGAAAATCAGCCCTCTGTCTGATGTGGGGTTGGTGAAGATCTTTCCCATTCGGTAGGCTGTCGTTTTGTCTTGTTGACCGTGTCCTTTGCTTTACAGAAGCTTTTCAGTTTCAGGAGGTCCCATTTATTAATGATTTTTCTCAGTGTCTGTGATACTGGGGTTATTAGGAAGTGGTCTCCTGTGCCAATGTGTTCAAGTGTACTTGATTTTATATTCTGATTATAAAACAGAAAGGGGCTGGAGAGAGGACTCAGTCGCTGAGAGCACTGGCTGCTCTTCCAGAGGATGATGGTTCGGTTCCCAGCACTCACATGATGGCTCACAACTGTCTGTAACTCCAGTTCCTGGGGATTCTGACTTCTGAAGGCACCATATATGTGTGTTGTAGCCAGACCATAAATAAATCTTAAAAAAAGACAAAAACTAAACAGAAACAGTAACTGAGTGCCTGTTTGCCTCCGTCAGCAGAGGAGACCAGACAAAACGGGCTCCGTGAAGGTGCCAGGACAGTAGCAGTTTACCCAGCTGGGCAAGGAAGGCCCTGTGACAGGAGACATTGAGTCACCAGTCCCCCAGGGAGATCCTTGCTCCCCCTTTGCAAGGTCACCATTCCTAAAGCGTCTTGATGGGGAGAGGACTGGACTAAGGGATCAGAGGTCGCCACTTACTTTATTTTACTTTAAGACCGGAGTCTGGCTGCATAGCCCATGTTCACTTAGAAATCTGGACCTTCCTGTCTGTCTGTTTTCCGAGTGCAGGGATTCAAGTGTGAGCCACCACACTCTGCTCAAAGCAGACATCTACACTGAATTACAATGAGGTTTAAAAATAAGCGCTGCCATAATGTAGAAACTCCGGATCCACTTGCCTGGCAAGCAAGGCCTAGGTCACTTGCTCCTTTTTGAACAATGTAATTTTCCTGAAACAGACAAAAAGACGAAAGATAGACAGTTTTCCTGTAAACTAAAAAGGATGAAATGTTTTCTTCTACGAGGACAGAAAGCCTTTTGCATCTCATATATATAAACAAACACCCAGACCTCTGCCTCTGTAGCAGACAGTTTAATGAGGACCCCACTGCAAATTAGTGCAAGGAGTGGGACTAACAACCGTCAGTCCCCTGTCTCACGCAATGTGTAGTGACCTTCGACACCCCTGAAGTCTGCTCTTCACTTCTCTTCCTCTTTTCTCCTTGGTCATGTTTAGAACCTTTTTCCCCTTCGGTTTCGTTTCTGGAGACAGGATTTCCCTGTGCAGCCCTGGCTGTCCTGGAACTTACGCTGTAGATCAGGCTGGCCTCAAACTCAGAGATCCTTCTGCCTTTGCCTCCCAAGTGTCGGGATTAAAAGCATGCACCACCACCACCTGGCTGGTATTTAGAATCTTTTTTTTTTCTTCTTCAAAGCTTTATTTATTATGTATACAGTGTTCTGCCTGCGCGTATGCCTGTAGGCCAGAAAAGGGCACCAGATCTCATTACAGATGTTTGTGAGCCACCATGTGATTGCTGGGAATTGAACTCAGGACCTTTGGTAGAGCAGCAGTGATCTTAACTTCTGAGCCATCTCTCCAGCCCATGTAGAATCTTAATCCAATTATATTTCAAGATATTTTGGAGACCAATGATTTCATTTTTTAAGACTATTTTGTTTGTTTTTGTATTTTGAGACAGGGTTTCTCTGTAGCTTTGGAACCTGTCCTGGAACTAACTCTTGTAGACCAGGCTGGCCTCCAACTCCCAGAGATCAGCCTGTCTCTGCCTTAGAGTGCTGGGATCTGAGAATATATTCTAAGGGGCCCATTTCCAACATGAACAAATAGTATTCCACTTAGTGTGCACAAAGAGGTAATGAATCATTCACAGCACGGTATAGCATAGGGCTCCTGCTGCCGCTGTTGTTTGAGACAGCTTCCCACAGTATCAGCCAAGCTTTCTCATACCCTGGATTCCAACAATCCTTCTGCTGTCTGCCAAGCAGCGGTATCTGGGACTGAAGGTGTGAGTCACTATATGACGCCTCGTGACTACATTCAATGAGTGATTCTTGGTTTATTTTTGTTATAGTAGCCCACTCTGTAGCTCAGGTTGTGTAACAAGGAGCTACGGGCACAGATAACCCTTCTCCATCAAGGTTGGCCTGAAACTCACTATCTTGCTTAGGCTGACCTTGAACTCACAAAAAATCCTCCTGCCTAAACCTCGCTTATGCTGGAGTCACAGGTGTGAGCCAACATGGCAGCCGTAAGTACTCGTCAGAATGGCTCCTGAACAGGGAGAAGGACGGCCATGTGCTCATTCCCAAATGCACTGTTCACAGTTGTGGTTATGGTGTGATCTCAGCCACGTAAGACACATCTCCAGATGGTTAAACAGCGCTTTTCTCCTCGGTGGGATTACAGTGATGGCCAACAATGAATTCT